TATCATGACGTTCGCACGTTAATATGCTTTGTTATTTGCATGTGTGATATGATTGAGATCGTCTCACCATTTGTAAGGTCGTGACTCTATCTCACGATTTGTGAGGCGAGTTCGACGCCTATACTATTTTAACATAGGCATTTACGACTGTATTTAATAATTACCTATTGTTTTACCTTAGTTGAATTTTTCTCGAGGGAGTTCGGTGCCCATTCAGTGGAAGGCCGCTGCAGTGAGGCTTATGCCTCTACCGATAAGCCAATCCCTATTCCGGTAGCTCCTCAGTTTGCTCCGGGTGTACCAGAAGAGCTTCCATGGTTAATATGGAAGGGAGAGCGCCACAGTTTAAGGCAACTTATCATGGATGCGCCGCTAGTGAAGGACCCAAGTTCTACGCACCCGCTAAGAAAGTCAGACTACTTGTTTGGGGACTCCATTGAAGATCCTGCCGCTGTATTTCTTAGAATGGAGCAATGGCTGCACCATGACGACGGTGGCCACTTATACCTTCCTCCAATTCCTCGTCACCGTTCGCTCGCCGAGCTTCGACGGTGGCCACTTATACCTTCCTCCAATTCCTCGTCACCGTTCGCTCGCCGAGCTTCGGTGTCAAGCTGTTCCTCGGGAGATGTCATGGAGATTAAAGCTTCGGTGTCAAGCTGTTCCTCGGGAGATGTCATGGAGATTAACAGAGGAACATGAGCGCATTCACTGTGGTTATATTACTCATGGCGCGATCCCTGGCTCAAGTAATCGAAACCGGATAACGGGGCTACACCCGGGGATCACAGGATTGAATGACCCACCCAAAGGTGAGATCTTCACTATTGCTAACACTGTAAAGAATCGGCTTGCATCTTTGGGTTGAGAAATGCCAGCAACCGGCCATCGATATTATGGCTGGGTACACTCATCAGATAGACTATGGTGGACTCATTTGAGCCACTACATTTTAGATCGATTTGGTGAGGATTTGAAGGCTAGTGGTTTATATGCAGCCGTCCACGCCACCGCTTATGGACTGACCATTAGTGTTCCCCATTTCTTGGCGCTACTGGAACTCTACAATCCTGATGCCAATACATTTCTGACTAAGCATGGGGAGTTGGGATTGGCATTGCACGAGATGTATAAAGTCTCCGGTCTTTCGATGGGGAATATGATTTATCAGAAGTATTTTCCTTCTAACAGGGAGTTGCAGCAGTTGAAGTCGCGGACTCCCAACCGCTATAACACCTTCTGGGATCTTGCTTGCCATTATCACATAGCTCTTGCGGGTGTTAATCCGTTATCAAAGAAGCCGCGACCGCAAATTAGTTTAAAGAAGTTCACGAATTATATTTTCAAGAATACGAACAGCGTTCTGGATGAACCAATTTGTGAGTTATCGCCGCTAACCACTTCCGAAGTGAATGAGCTAATCAAGAAGTCGAATGCTCAGTCTTACACCACAGCTGGTATTGAGGATGGCTTTGCTGCTGGAACAAAATTCCAGACTTTCTTGTGGCAATGAGTTAAACCAATCCGGCCTATGACATTACTTGCTGGGTATCTTGCTATCTGGCTGAAGAAGTGTATAGTGTCATACCAATCTACTGACGCACTTCCCCTAGATGTTTTGTTTCCACGGTTCTGCTTGCTCACTGAAAAAACTTATGTCTTCTTCCGGCAATGACCGCTAGTATTTATAGAGGGCTTCGCCAGATCGTAAACGGATTTACTCAAAAGGGGGAACTCACCGCCTGCTCAGATTCCTCTCACATAGGTGGAACTCCCCTACACTTATTTAATGGCTTGGTTAGTACTTCATCGATCGGATATGATGTGGGCGCCAACCTCGGTGGATCCCTCCCTTCCTTTTCTTCAAATAATAGAGAACTGTAAATGGAAGGGATGAGGTTTTGCAGAGGTTAGGAAGCAATTTTAGAATCACAAATGTTGGGTCTTCCCTACTTGCTTCCCATGATTTTTAGGTCAGTACGGTGACTCATTGATAGATGTAGAGAAGCCGGGTACGGGTCGGACTTCCCTTGATTCTGGCTGCTTCGATTGGCTGGTTAATATTCTACCGGGCTATGTGATCTTCCGTGTTCAAAACCATTGTTACATAGAACCCTACTTGCCATGTCGGTTCGCTCATCAGTTTGATTACGATCAGATTTATGTCGGGAACCCAAACCGACAGCTCCGGGCCCATGGAGGCTTAGTGGATGGGGCTCGAGCATGGCTTTGGAACATTACTGGTTGTACCGGTGCTAAGTTTAACCTTCCGGGCGTTGAGCGCAAGTTGGAGCTGACTTTTCTACAGTGTCGATGGCTCTTGACGGCCAATGAACACGTACCAGTTCAACCGATCGCTGAGTCAACCGATGAAGAAGCTTCTCGGGTTGCTACTCACAGGGTCCATGAATCCGAGCTTGAAAAGAAGAGAAGGAGGGAACCGGCGGGTCCTTCTAGTCATTCAACGCGGAGGGAGCCAACTACGGAACCTCATGTTGGGGGTGGTGCAGAGGTTAGTGGCGATGGTGGAGAAGAGGAGTCGGAAACAGGTGTGTTAGATCCCCTCTCTTTAGAGTTATTTGAATTAGCAATTGCTGAAAGAACTCGCCGCTTTCAACCATCCAAACCTTCACCTTCTGTAAAGAAGCCAAAGATGCAAGTCTTGTTCACCTATCCTAACAAGATGTCGGTTGAAATCCCAGGTGCATTTTCTGAAGAGGATAGAGAGGAGCTCAGCCTTATTCATCGGAGGCGGTCCCGATCCGCAACTCAGGTTACTCCAAGGCACGAATTACGTTCTAAATTTTCGAAGGAGTGACCTGCTGATCCAGAAGAAGGACGTTCGGCTAAACACAAGAAGCTGGCCTCTAAGCGGCGGAGCAGCCTTGAAACGGAACCAACGACTCAAGGAGTTGCAGCTGAAAGGGGTGAGTACTTCTTCATATAGTTTCTTCCGATATATGTTGAGCTTTCGGACTTAAAGAATTTTCACACTTTGCAAAAGAGGATTTTGCAAGCGACGTTATTTTTTACGCTTCTTCCCCTGATATTGACTTCTCAGCACCAACTCCGGGAATCAGG